TTTTTTTTTTTTTTTTTTTTTTTTTTTTTTTTTTTTTTTTTTTTTTTTTGCGCGCGCAATTTCCTTCTTTTCGTTTGTTCAGCGCGCAAAATACTCTGCTCCCTTCCACTTCCCCTACCCTACAGAAAAAATACCTTCGCCGCCAAGCAAACAAAAACAACGATGAGGATTTCATAGAAGAGCTGCGCATGGATGCAGGTGGATCCGAAGGCGATAGAAGGAAGCGTTTAATGGCAAAAGTTTGGATGTGTTGAAATCGACGCATTCGTGGAGGGTATTGGAGGAGCACGCAGGGATGGAGGAATATGGGTTTGAAAATGAGAAGAGAGTGAGATTCGTGGAGGCAATTGTGAAATTTGTATTCAATCACTCAAGATTTCAACCCTTGCGTTCTTCACATGAAAACAAGGTAAATTTCATTTGAAGATCAAATTTAAATCTTGCAATACAAGCACCCATTATCATTCAATTACGGATGGAAAAAAATGATGTGTAAAATTAGGTTGGATTTTTGTTTTTACCTAATCTGACTATGCCAATTGCTTGCCTTTGTATTAGAATTCTTTCCCAGCCCCTTTTCTTTCGGTGAAAAATGTGGAGAGAATTTTGTTGTTATACAATCCTTTTCTTCTTATCCCCAAATTAACTCATTTCACTTCGCCAAAATTCTCCGTTCAACATGGGAATGATTATTGTAATTGCAACTTTATCTGATTACCAGAGGGTTTTCACATTAGGGGACAGACATGGATGTGGGGTTGGATAATATGAACAAGAATAAAGAGCATTAGATTTTTGGAATATCGGAACTCTGTGAGATTCTTTGTAACTTGGATTGACAAAGGCTTTATAGCTATAATATGGTGTCTTAATATCCTCTTCAAACATTTTTAATCTTACTCATTTTCCTTCAATAGAATCTTAAGCTGGGTAACCATATTATTCACCTCCTTCCCATTGTAATTTTTGGGAAGATTCAGCTCGAAGAGTGACGCTCAAATTGATTATCTGAGGCACAAAAAAAAGGTAAACTACAAGCCAGATAAGAACCTTTTGGTTCACATATCTATTTTTCTTACTGTGAATTGGATCACTTGAAAATTATAATTCATCTTGTTATCAAGAAAATTTAAATTCGAATTGTTAACAGGAACTTTGTGCTCTAGTTTTGTAGGTGGAAAATTAGCATATTTGAAGAGTTTTATTGGACCTCCACCTTTTCACATTTCCATTTCATCAAAAACTTCTTTTTGATCTTTGAAACACTAAAATTTTTGGAGGCTCTTTGAAGTATTTGCATGGATGGGAAGAAATACTTCTCTTGACGACCGGAAGAAAGCAATTGCAGCTGCCGAGGTCAGCTCACCCTATACTTTTCAATCCATTTTACCTGTGTAACATGACATTATAGAATTTGTTATTAACTTGTGTTGTTAAGTGAACAGAAACTGGTGCATGGACCGGAGAGACCAAAATCACAAATCACTTGCGTGATTGAAGGTTTTGAGACAGCGTCATTCCGATCTAAATTTGACTCATGGCCTCAAGTTACTAATGTAGTGGTGTGAGAGGATGGTCGAGGAAAGGTTGCAGGTTAGAAAGTATAAACTTCAAAGATTTTTATTTTTCCATCGGTATTGTCCATGTATCAGTTTAATCTATATTGCCACCAGAAATTCATTTCTTGTGTTTGGTTTTTTGGTGTCTATTTTAGCTCTTCTGAAGCGCAAAGGGTGCAATTGGGTATAAAAGCTCTACACCCCAATTAAACAATAGTTATGAGGTATAGACGAGCACTGAGGGAGTCGCCTACGAGTCATCGTTAGGCGATGAGAGTCCTGATAGGTTCGGTACATGAGATACTATGAGATAAGAGTCAGCAGTTTAGTAAAGACTTTTATAGAGGCAAAACTGAAGGAACAGAGAGTTAGAGGGCATAGTGTCCCTAGAAGCTCGCCTAGAGCTATAGAATCCACAATTTGTCTTAGACTACCAGTGACCTAGAGACTTGGTACATAACCATAACATGAATCGAAGATAAAGGTTCTGTAAAACTAGCCAAACCGAGACCTTTGTAATTCCTATTTGCTAAATGATGGCTCAGAAAGTTGCAGCAGTTACATGCAAACGTTTCCTTCCTTTTCTTTTTTATTCTCCTTGTCACCACCACAGGTATCCTTTATTCCTTTTCTTCATATTTTTGTTTTTTTTTTTTTAAACAAATTGAGTTAAGACTTTATTGTGCAGGTTCTTTGGCTAGAAGGACATTGGTAGAACAGCCAAGAAAAACAGGCTTGGAGCAGGCGGTCCTTGAAGTCCGTGCTTGGGCACATATAGTGAGAATTTAAGCTAATCGTGAGTATCTTAAGCTAATCGTGTGAAGTCCCTTGAGGATTTACCACTTTTGCCTAAGCAACCCTAGTCATTTGGAATAGCTTACGGGACATCACTCCACTCCAAGAGTGTTAGTTTTTCCTTCTTCGGAAAAAAGTGTGGCAATATCCTACTTAATTTCCCTGAAGATCGAAAGGGCTTTAGTACGTGGAGGAACATTATCGTTCTAATGTCATTAGGGAGTGAAAGATAATTTGCACCTACCCTAGAAATTTAGTGAAATTGTTTATTGTTTCAGAAACCACAATTTGCAGCCTACCTTAGAAACTTAGAAGGAAAACAACTTTGGGAAGGTCGAGGAACAAGAGCTCAAACACGCACAAGCAAGTAAGTAGCCATATGGAGCAAGTATCAAGTAGTACTAGTTGATAGGACAAGGGGCATATGATTAGAAATCATATCTAAGAACCTAATTGACCTAGTATCATGATAATTAAACCTAGAAACGTGTATAGTTTACAGTTTAGTACAATTTACAGGTTTATAGCTTTCGTTATTCATGTTTGATAACTTGGATAGTTTGAACATATTAATGAGCTTTCCAGCCTGCCTAGGTTAATTTTATTCCTTGTATTGAACATGTTGAGCATGATATATGTTATGATTGTCTTTAGATGCATACTAAGGGGTTAGGAATCTTGTTTATGCCCAGTTATCCTTTTGAATGATCATTATGTGCCCTAGAGTGTTTGCTATGTTGGTTATAGATCAAGAGCCACTATTTTACATTACTAAGGTACTAGAACGTAGTTACAAGTTCCACTATTTCCTTTCGGTTGACCAGGTATCTTGTAAGGACGGGTGCAACCCTAATTTGTACACTAACCAAGAGGGGTTAGGGTCTATTTGGTACATTTAGCTCAATTGTCACCCTTAGTGAGTTTCAGAAGTCATATATAGGCTACGTTACTGAGACTAGTTTTGGTTGTGCCTAGTGGGGGAGCTTGGTTAGTTACTGTCTCTACTTGGAAGAACAACGTGACATGTAGTTTACTGTCTAGCCCAAGAGGGGGCGTGAACAAGTCATTTACTGTCTTTGCTTAGAAGGGCGATGCGACTGACCATTTACTATTTTCGCATAAAAAGGCAATATAACAAGTAGTTATAACCCGACACCACTAGGGAGAATCCTCTGGTTGGAACTCAGTAAATAGCTAGGTGTGAAGTATGTATATTACGTTAGAGCAAAAGGGCTCCTCCATACTTATTAGACCTACCCTTGGCTCGACCTTGTGAGCATACATGTTGAGGCATATTGATTCGAGGTGCACTTCGCACAAGTATTATGAGGGGCCTACGTATGCGTAAACAGTGTAGAGTACCCAAAACCCTTAAGTTTATGACCCCATGGGGGTTAGAACACTCCACATAGGAGGTATGTATAGGGTTTTGGTACATAGAGACCTGGATAGGTTAATACAGACTTTTAGTCTTAATTTGGCTAACTTTAGGGGTAATTTTAAACACGTAACTAGATTCTGTGTATATGAATAAGTTTCAGCGAAAGCCTACAAGTAGCTTGCTTGCTGAGTACTTCATACTCACTCTTGTTATATTTTCTGTTTTTAGATGAGCAATAGAGCACTTATCATTGTGGGGGTGTGCTGGGTCGTGGGCCGTGTGGCTGTGGAGGCTACCTTGTTGACTAGAATTTTTTTAGTCTTTTGTTTATTTGTACATGATTTTTGTAATTCTTCCATTTGCAAGTGATCTTTGTATTTTAAATAGCTCATGAGCGAATGTATGCATTTAAATTGTGTTATTTTAATGTGTTTATTTATTTGCTTGATTTCTTTCCTTTTAAAAGCGAAAAAATATATCGTTTTTTTATAACATATTTCATCGTGATGGTCTGTATTTTGATGCATCATAAATTTGGTCATGACAAGAGCACTTTTTAATCTCCTCGGTAGGATGTCTTAAGCTTTCACTAACATTAAGCTCACTTGTTGATCATTCATTTTCAATGTGATTTCTTAGTTTTAGAGATCGAGTTTTTATCCAATGTCTTACTACTTCTAAGTTTAATGTCTTGACATTGCTCCTTTTCTCTCTTGGGATTCTTAGTGTTGGTAGGGAACTTCCCTTGGGGTCTACTTAGTTTAGTGGCTAGTTGTCTCATTTGTATCTCCAAGTTTCTTAGAGAAGCTTGTTCCATCATTCTTTGTCATAGACTCCTATATGTTGAGAGTTGTTAACTCTCTGAGCTTGAGGCAACCTCTGCCTTACTCCAATTGCACTTGGATTATGTTGGCCAAATCGGGTAAATTGATTTTTACTTGATTTGGGTGGTTCCTCCAATCTGGGTTATAGGTGTTTGAGTAAGGGTTATTGCTTTGTTTGACTTAGCTTCTTTACTTCCGATAAAAGATAGATGTTGGGTTACTAAGTCACTGCTCAAACGTGTGCTTGTCTCCTCACTAAACACATGATATCACTATCCGGTACATTCACGCAATTCACAAGGTTCAACAGCAATTAATATTTCACGATTAAGGGTGTAATACTATTTGTAGTAGCGGTCTTTATATATTGTATTAACAATTGAAAGATGGTCAATACATGAGATACTATGAGATAAGAGTCAACAGTTCAGTAAAAACTTGGTACATGAAATACTATGTGATGATAGTCTTAGGCTATCGGTGACCTCGAGACTTGGTACATAGCCATAACATGAATCAATTAGAGTCTATAGATATGTTGTTTATTGAGTATTTTATACTCACTCATGGTATTTTTCAATTTTTAGATGGTTTATGAGGTAACGATCAATGATATGAGTACTCAAGCGTTGTGGCTATATGGTGATCCCTAGATATGTGTCTGGTAGTCTTCTTTGTATTTTGGTTTTTTTTGTTTGTATTTGAATATTTGTATACTCATTTTATAACGAACTTTGACAGAAATATTTTGTATGAATTTTATATATATTTCAATTTTAAGTGTGAATTCGACCGTGTCACCATTTACTCTTTTTTTTTTTTTTAATTTCTAAATTATTGAATCTTTTAAGCCCTACATTGGTACATGGTGGTTTATGAATCGAAGCTTCGAAAAGTGTATTTTTATAGATTGCTATCACACCCCTAAGTTGATAGGTGATAAGGCAACCATCGCTCAACCATCAAAGTTTTTTTTAGCAAGAACACTTAAATCAAAGAAACTAACAACTCCTTATACAAAATTCGGATAAACCAAGAGATGCTAGAATTAGATTACCTCTTATAATTAAAGATAAACCAAGAGATGCTAGAATTAGATTACCTCTTATAATTAAAGATCTAGAAGTCATATTTGGAACCTTGTTCTGAGTCACTCCATAATCCATCTTAATCAAGATTTGAATGAATGACTCAGATGAGATCTCAAATTTCATTCATCCAAAATATGCTTTTTACATATTAATTTGTGGTACTCTCTACAAAAGGAAACTTTCAATTCTTCACCAAAGAAGATAGTGACCATAATTTACTCACTCCCTTAATCTACGCAAAGGAAAAAGTCAATTTGATAAATAACTTCAATTTGATAAATAACTTCTCGCCCATTTGTCCACTACAAGAATTATGAAAGTAAAAATAATAAATAAAATTTTCTAACAACTTATCAATCAAGTGCAATTTATAGCAACTTCATCCGCTATTTCAACCGTGCCAATATTCACTTATGAAGATTTAAATGGTCCTTCCTCAATCGAATCAGCTAGTAACACATGAAATAATGGTTGAACCGAGTCTATCCAATTTTGTGGATGAAAAATGAATGCTTGTTGAATTTTCTTGGCCTTGGATTGTGTAATAGGTTCAGTTGGAACATTTGAAATACCGTGATCCTTATCATCTTCCCTTTTTCAAAAGGATTCGTCCTCGAATTAGAAAAATTATCACCTTGCTTATATTTGATGACATACAGAAATGTTTCAATAAACTCCACCCACTTTGCATGCCTGAAATTTATTTGCTTTGGTCCTTAAGATACTTCAAGCTTTCATGATAAGAGTAGATCACAAATTCTGAAGTTCAATTTTTTTTTTTTATCATAGGTAGGATAGTTCAATGCTCCCCATTTAGTTTTTTTCACTACAATGCATTAAGAGTTTTCCATCCTACAGCAAAACAACACCTATACCCAAACCACTTGCATCACACTCAATTTCAAAGGTTTTGTTTAAGTTAATAAGAAAAGTAATGATGCATTGGTTACTTTCTTTTTAAGCTCATTGAATGCATTTTTTGCATATCCCCATTTAAATGGTGCATCTATGGTTCTAAAATCATTCAGTGCAACTATGGTTCTAAAATCTTTTATAAATCTCTTATAGAAGCCAACTAACCCATAAAAACTTCAAACTTCACTTGTACTCGTTAGTGTGGCAAATCATTGGTGAGAATGAAATTTTTCCATGCAAAACTACACTTATTAAAATTAGAATGAAATTTCTCTTTTCTTTGTGTAATCAAAACTGACTTAACATGCTCCAAAGTAAAAGATATTAAAGCTTGAGAAACTACCTTCATTGTTCCACTGTCATTGAGTCATTGAAGTTTGTAAGGTTTAGGATGGTGTTGGGTTGGAATTTGGAACCTTTTGATCAACATGGTACTTACTACATTAATGCAACTTCCACTATCAATAACAAGACTACAAGGAGTCCCCTTGACTAAACACCTTGTGTGAAATAGGTTGTCTCTTTGATCAACATCATTCTTCGTCACTTGAGTTTTAAGAAGTCTTCTTATAACAAGTGCCAAATGACTCCCATCTTCCAATTCCTCCTCATTCTCCTAGATTTCTTCTTCAGCTAGCTCATCCTGGTCACTTTCTTCACTTTCTGTGACAACTTATCCATTCTTGATGATCATGCTCTCTTGTTAGGACAATCACGACTAATATGACCAATTCCTTGACATTTTCAACATTTGATGTCCCTATTTCTTTCTCGAACCTCCCTGTATTCCTCAACTTTCTCTTTACCTTTGGAGGTCTCAACTTCGTCTTTTTTGTCAAGCTCATACTTGCCTCTAACCTTGAAATCTATCTTTTCAATATTTGCATTCTTTTTCCAAGTGTTAAAAGTAGTAGACTTAGAAATAGCATACCTTTTGGAGTTCTCCTTCTCCCAAGCTAGTTGCCTTTCGATTTTGATAGCAAGGTGTGACAATTCTTGCATATCAAAGTATGCTTGCCTATCCACTTTTTGAGCAAGTTGTTGGTTTAACCCACCAAGGAATCTAGCCATTGTATCCTTCTCATCTTCATCAATGCATGCATTATTCATAAGGGCCTCTATTTCTTTATAATATTCTTCAACGCTTTTGGATCCTTGGTTCAAAGTATAGAGTTTTTGCTTGAGTACTCGAGAATAATGCTTAGGAATGTACCTTTTTCTCATTAATGTCTTCAGTTCTTCCCACGTTTCAATTGGTTCTTCATAATTTCTCCTCCACTATGATTTCAAAGATGTCCACCAAATAATTCCATAATTACAAAATTCAGCCACGATAGGTTTTAACTTTCTTTCTTTATTAAAATTGTTGCAATTGAAAACATGCTCAATTTTTCTATCATATTGCAAATACTCATCTAGATCAGATCTCCCATAGAAGGTTGGAATTTTCAGCTTTACTCCCGAGGCTCCTCTTCTTTTACTCTCTCATAAAGGTACTCTCTCTCGATTATTTTTTGTGCTAAAATTTCTCTACCCCTTCTTCGACCTCTTCCTCCCCCTCGATCGACATCTCTCCCCTCCCCTAGGATTATTTCTAGCAAAGAGGATGACATTGTCATCTTCTTCATTTTCAACTCCCTCATTCAAGATTACTTCGCTTCCTTAAGGATTACCTAAAGCTATTTCAATTCGCTCCAACCGGTCTGTCAAGACACTAATAACTTGATTCAAACGAGTAATAGCCCCAGTTTGTGCTTCTCTCCACCTAGTTTCATTGATCTCCCGTCCATTTCCCCCGTCTTGGTTCATGATTGTACAAACAGTAGTTAAATATATGCTTATGATCTCACACACTCAACTAACTGATTTTACACTCAGGAACACTCGTGTTTATTACACACAAAAGTAGGCTATTTGGGAAATTGATTAAATTATTATCAAGGTAGGCTAATATATGGTAAAGTAATTTTGATAGTAGCAAGCTATTCAAGGCAATCAAGATAAGTTAATTGCACGCTTAAAATGAGTTTAAAAAACAAAAAAAGTCGTTAAGTTTTGACTAAGAGAATGATCTAACTTTCCTTTTTATGGAATTTGGGCAAATTCAAAAGTTATTTTCGAATTTGAATTAGGAAACAAAAGTATCACACACAAGGGTTATTGATTTAAAGGGTTTAAGTAAAATGTGAATTAAAGTTTATTTGATCTTCAAATAAACATGTAGATGGTCTAAAATAAATGATAAGGACATTTTATAATCACAATCTTAAGAACAAATATGATAAGGACTTTTTTTTTCAAGGTCGAAATATGATCTTTAAGAAGAAAATGAGAACAAATTCTTGTACGCTATGGGCCAATTCGCTCAAGGAACTCAAATGGTCCGATGAATCTATGACTTAACTTGCCCTTATGATCAAACCTCAAGACACCCTTCATAGGTGCCACCTTGAGGAATACTAGGTCTCCTATCTCAAACTATAAGTTTCTACGTCGTACATCGGCGTGACTTTCTTGTCTACTTTGAGTAGTACGCATCCTTGCTCGAATTTTCTGGATAGCCTCATTGGTGACACGAACCAGCTCAGGTCAAACTAACTCTCTCTTGCCTATCCATTTGTCCATAAGTGTGGGGTGGAAGGCGGTGCCAAAGTCGAGACGAGTAC